TATCTTGCCGTGCGGAAGGTAAAAAATATTTTAATCTGGGCAATGTAACGCATTCTTTTTCAACGGCTGAGTTTATTCATTGAATTCGAAAAGGCAAATATATTGCGTTTTGTCAGCGGCAACATGTTTCTCTCATATCGCTGAGTTTTCTGATAAAATTTTAAATATAAGTATTTTACATTTTGCCGAGTGGCAACATAGAGCTTTTAAATCATTGAGCTTTTGATCAAAAGTTCCTTAATCCACACAAAATATAAAGCAAAGAACCAATTCGAAATTCAAAATTCTGGCATCGAAGTGGACATGTTCAGGTGGAAGAATATAAGTCTACAAAATTTGGTAGTTCTAGGTACCGTCGTTTTTTCACAATGCGATTAAATTAAATTAATAAGACAAATATATTGCGTTTTGTCAGTGGCAACATATTTCTTTCATGTCGCTAAGTTTTCTGATAAGATTTGAAATATCTTACGCTTTGCTGGGTGGCAACACAAAGCTTTTAAATCGTTCAGCTTTTGATCAAAATTTCCTTATATTCGCACAAAATACGATATGATTTTTTTTTTTAAATCGTAATTCAAAATTCCGGGTTCGTGAAAGACTGCGTGTTCAAAATTTGATGGTTGCAAGTACCGCCGTTTATCCGCAATGCGAAAAATACGCAAACACAAATTCTTCGTTATTTTTCTAGGAGAAATAAACTTTTAATATTCTTTTCTTCACATCACGAAATTGAAAAGAAATCGGTGCTGTACTTGTTCTGGTTTGAATTTCTCTTGAATGGCAACACGGAAATAAACAGAAGCGCATTTATTTAGCGAACGCTAAATGGCTAAGTTATTCCATCAATAAATGCCCTAAGTTTGTTTATATCTTCATTATGTTATGAGTTATTAAAGATCAAAATGGGTCCGAGACTTTATAAACACCCTGTATTATTAGGAATTTGTTATACATGTAAACTGAAGTATTTCTCATGGACCTTATAAGAAAGTATTTCTCGTGTGATGTAACATGAAAGGCGTCAAGAAAGCCGAGATTTGTATTCGATTTGTGCTACGATGTTTAAAAAGAGAGAGAGGACAAGGTTCAGTTATTAATATCTTATCATTAATTTTTATCCACATCAGATCACCGTATCTACAGTTTTATTGGCTGCCTGACCCAAAGTCGAAAGTCGAAATTGTTGGTTTTTTTTTTTTTTTTTTTTTTTTTCTGCATAAAGCTTAAAACAAGTAAGGCAATGTGCTTGGTTTTTAAAAGACTGACTGGCAGATTTTTGTTGTTGTTTTTGTTTATACAACATGGGCTTCGCAGGCAATCAAAGCATTTCAAAAAATTTCTGTCTTATGCTGTGTATTAAATAGTAATTCTTTTCTCACCGAAAAATTGCAGCAAAATTTTTTATCTTTCTTCGTCAAAGCGAAAATTATCTTCGAAAGTTTTTCAGCCCACCGGCGGCCGAGTGGAAACGTCGTTGATGCTGGGTAGTTCGATATAGGATCGACACCCGGAGAATGGGCTGCCTGCGTGGTTAGTTTTCGTTGTCCCTCCATGTGTAACATAGGTACGAGCCAGATTCTTTAAAAAGTCCTCCACGAAGGCATCCCTCCTCATAGGCAATAGCCCTTGAGGTTTGGTTTAATCAATTAACCGATCATCCGATCATCTTTCGTTAAGTGAAGAAAGGCTAATTCAAAGCTTTTGGAAAAGGTTTTTTTTTTTTTTTTTTTTAAATCCCAAAAGTGCTATTAATTTCGTTTTAACATTTTGCATCAAAAGCTTTAAAAGTCCGAACCACTTTTTGAATTGTTGCCACCAAATATTATTGCCTTGTATTATATATAAAGAAACTAAATAATGAAGAATCTTCGTAAATGTATGTAGTATGTTTCTCGCATTGTGATGAATTAACGGTACCTAGAACCATCCATCCAATTTTGAATAACGTACCTCTCCACCCGGATATGGCATATGGAAGCCCAAATTTGGAATTTGTTTTATTATCTATTTCAATTGTAAAAGTTAATGATTTTTGATTAACAAAACCAAGATTTCAAAGCGAGTAATGGCCACACTGTACGGTGGGGGGAATCTCCATCACGATTGGTCTCGCAAATTCTAAAAATTAAAATTATTGCGATACGCCGTTGACTGAATTTTATTGTTAAGTGCAAAGAACATGATATTAATAACTAAAGGTTAACACACAAAACGTTAAAAAAACACCCTTTTAGGCGCAATGTAAAATCTGAAAGCTTTCGGATTTTTATTTTTAATTTTTTAAAATCTTGTTTTAATTATTAACAGAGATACTTTGGAATTTTTCTGAACATCCCTTTGTATCAAAGTTGAATTCTCTTGGGAGTGATCTGTCTCCAACTTCTTCTGCATCAAATGCATTGCCGAATCTTCAAACTAATATTTGTTATACAATACGATATGTGCTACACGTATGACACGAGTAAGTAAGACGTCACTACTGACGTCATATTTGCAAGTCAGTTTTGGCACCTAATAAAATGTATATGCTGTAGGCTTTTACATAAGAGATTAGAAAGAAATATGCTAAAGTAGGACTTCTTAAATTTTTTTCAATTGCGACCCCTTTTTATCGCAGATTTTTTTCGCTACCCCTGGCCCCCCTAATACTTACGAAAATTTTGTGGGAACCCATAAGCATTGCGCAAATCGAAACACGCGGAAGTGAAACTGTCAATTTTTCACTTGTACTGTAAATATATATTGCAGTTTTAGGCCATTAACTTAAATTCTATTTTAAGACATGTGAACATTTTAAAAGTGTACAAATTTGTATGCTTTTTTCTTTATGCCTACCATAATTCCTTTTTGAGCTTTTACATCCATCTCTCCACGTTTTTCTTTTCTTATTTGAACATATGCTTCACATCCAAATTTTTTTTAACTAAGTAATATTAGGCTTGCGTTCTGTATATCCTTCATAAAGTGCTAACATTTTATCCTTCATGTGACTCTTGTTAATCACATATACAGCTAATTTAACACTTTCACTCCAAACTTTTATCGGTTATTCTGCATCACTCAACACTACTCTAGCAGTTTCGATTATAGTACGATGAAAACGTTCAACGTTTTGATGCTCTTTGGAATGTAAGGCCTTGTAAGTTCGTGTTTAAGTCCCATTTTTCCAAAAATATCTTTTTTTAGCTAAGAATTCACTGATATTATCACAGTGAGTTCCTTTTTATTTCTTTTCTGTTTGCATTAATCTTTAGTAGTAAGCTTTATTAAACACTCTGCAGTTTCATTCTTTTTCTCAACTGTAATTACAAACATGAAGTTGTAGTACTCCTCCCTCTTGACTAAATGTAATTAACTAAGTGTGGAGCAACCTAGTGAACTGCTAAGCGAATAATCGCTTAAGTCCAGAAACAGAAACGTAAAACTCAAGAAGGGTTAATTACCCTTTATTGCTCAAACTAAAGGTATACAGTCCGCCCTTTGTCAGGGCGTACAGTAAAGCCTCAACGTGGGCTTAAACTTCAAAAGTATAAGAAATAAGAACTTAACTAATGACTAACTAAAGAGATTTAACCGAAGCTAACAGAAATCTAACTAGTTGGCCCCTAAATGTTGAATTAGCTAGCGAAGCTATCAAGGGACCGTAATACGGTCGAGCGTAGTAACAGCTTAAAGAAATGTGGTTAAAAGGCAAACGCGCGCTAGTCAGAAACTCTGGGAACTTCGACTTAAATATTCGTATTTGCATTTAAAGCGATTCTAAAAACACATTCTGGTAAGGAATTTAGCTGAAATTAGAAGAGATAGGAAAGGAGCTTAAAAAATATTTGTTATAAACTTAGGATAAACCTTACAAAGTTACTGTAATCATCTACTGTTAGAAAATAACAAGTTCCATCTATTGACTTGTCGATTGGTACAACTAAATCGATATGCCATAGTTCTAAAATATCTTCAGTTTGCTTAAATTTCACACTTTTATAAGAAGTTCGAGCCATTTTTTCTAATGTGCGTGATTCATTATTGGTTTTGGAAATTTTTCCATTTTCGAATCGTAATGAGTTTTTCTTCATTTCTATTAATCTTTGATAATTTAGATGACGTAGTCTCTAATGTCACAGGTAATATATGCTGTTGTTGAGACTTATCTCACTTGTCTGACAGTAACATCAGCACAAGCCCATGAAATTCATCCTGGCAAGTATGAGTGCAAGATTGCGCCTGTTGTTGGCAAGAGCCATGAGCACCATAGAGGTGACAGTACGACTTTGCTCAGCTCCGCTCTGACTCCAATTTCAATACGAAGCATCCCGAGGGTCTATCACCCTTCTTTCCCTAGCACTAACCTCTCCAGAGGACTTGTTGGCCGCATATATAGAGTGTGTCCATGCCGCATAGACGATATACATTTACAAACATCCATGTCTTCTCCGGTATTTGGGCCCTTCCGTACGACAGTCAGCCACTATCCCGGCTGGGCGGCATAGATAATATTTGATTTCATTAACATTACTAATTTTATCTTCCATTATATTTCTACCAGCTTGAATGTTTTCATTTCTGTTAGCAATGGATAGAATGTTTCCATGTTTATTGATCTCTGCAGTTTTAGTTTGGGTTAAAGAACACTATTTAATTCAAGGCGAAGTTGGCTCAATTTAATAGGCCAAGGGATTCAATACAGGCGATTTTAATCTAAGGCCGAAAACTACAGATTTTATCTTATCTAACAACCTAGTAATGTGGCGTTAAGAAGCAGAACACGCTCTAAAAACCTCGCCTTAAATGCACACGAAACTGATTTGCATTCTGGCAGCAAAACAGAAAGGAAAAAGGATAGTGAAGACCCAAAATATAAACTAAATATTTAATATAACACAAAGGAACCTTACAACTTGTATAAACAAATATTATCAAAAAAACGCTATAACGTTTCTATTGTTTTGTAAAAAATATTGAATTGTTTTTGGTAGCAATAAAAATTATAAAATTCTTACCACACTTTTTGGCAGTTTATTCCTTCCAGAGGTAAAAATTAAACCTGTGTATTTTTTCACAAGGAACAATAGGATTACTGAAAAATAAAAAGAACTTTGTAATGAATCTGATAATGAATCTTGATTCATGAGGAAAAAAAGTAAATATTTAAATAAACTATTCTAATTTAGCGATCAATACTTGGAGCAATGAACTAATAATAGTTCATAGAAAGATTCTTGAATTAATAGTAGTTATTCATTTGAAAACTTGCTGTTTGTTCTTCACGTCTCTTTATCAGTTTACAATAAATTTAATAAACTATCTAACAATAAGTTAATAACAAGAAAGTTTTTATACATCTCTCATCACGGTTGAAATTTAATTTTTGGATAAATTTAAAAAGGAATATTTGAAAATTAACAAAAATTTCAAATAATATTTGCTTTTAAAGTTAATTTTTTTTTTTTTTTTTGCATAGAAATGCCAAAATTTAATATTACGCAATTAAACATTTTAATTATTTAAATTTTAGTGCATATAAATGAACACAATATTATTTTAAATAAACGATGCGTAAGGTATTCGAACAATATAAAGACCAATTTTGTCCCAAAATGCCAGTTTTCCTTTACTCATTTGTTGGACAGATTATTTATTTAACATTCCGAAATAAGTTTGCTTTTGCTTCTAAATAAGAAACCAAGAAAATAAGGATACCATAAAGATGCGAGCGAAACCCAGAAGTCTACATTTAATAAGCAAAAAAATGTCAAAAATTATTATAAAAAGTTTTTTTTTCTTAATATAATTTAATAGGATTTTACCACTTTGCGGCACAGTGTGTCCGGTCTGGACACACCTAAAACTTTTTTTTCTGTATGCACAGAAAAATTGAATGAAAAAGAATTTATAGGTAACAATAGGTTACTCTGAACCTTCTTTATTTATAGTAGATGGCAGCTCAACACAAACCAGTCCATATATTTTACCCATGTTTAGTTTTTTAAGACCCTCATTTTTCAAAGAAATCTTCCAGATTTTTTTAGGGTATAAAAGAAATTGTTTGAAAAGAAATTTCGATGTTATTTTTTTGGCTGTATGCTAATCTCCTTATTCTATATTAGTTTTAAATTTTTACCTTAAAATTTTGCCTAAAATCAAACGGCGAACCTTAGTTGTGCCCAGACCGGGCTCACCAATAATCTAAGACAACTAAGAGTCTGTATTCTTTGTTTTCTCCGCATCTCATCGGTCAGTTCATTGACAACAATGCCCGTTTCAACACTCTTTTCGAAGCTCTATTTAATCAGTGTGCCACTTTGGGCACACCCACAGAATTAAAACGATAAGTGCTATCTTTGCAAAATTTTACTTGTGTACTCCTCTAGGCATAAATAGACTGCCTACTTTTTTTCTTTCTTTTTTTTTTTTTTTAATCAAAACTCCGACTTTAAAAGGTAGCGTGTCGGAAAGGGTTAAAAGGGAATTCGTATCTGTAATAAGTATGGCAGAATGAAATCACTTCAAATAAAATGCAGTATTGTTATTGTTTACATTTTAAAAAGATATGTTTCTCTCTAGCGTATGAGTTTGAATTTCATTCGAAATATTATATATTGAAATTAGATTTATCTTATTCTTTGATTATTTCTGATAACATCTGAGATAATTATCTAGAGTGATGAGAGAGAGAGAAAATAATCGAAGCCGTACTCGTAAACGTAAATGTGTAAGGAAAGGATTTATGACACAGGTTGCAAAGGAAATCGAAAATAATACTATAAAGCAGTTCATACATCGAGTGAATGGAAGCCAAAAAACTGCTATTAACAGGAGGTGTTTTTGAAAGTGATCTAAAATGTGTGAAGGATATTTATAGCGTAACAGTGTTATTAAGTACGAATGCATACGTTACATACAGAATCGCCTTTGGTTCCATGGTTAGAAAATTGAATTGAAAACAAAACGGTGGACGGTTCAGCGTCACTCACTAAAGGATGCCTTTTTTGACAAAGTTAAAAACTACTATGGTGTCGTAATCAGAAAGAATGCGTATAACATACAGGGAATGCAAAGTATAATAATGGGTGCATTCTTTTTACGCATTTGCTAGTGGAAAGGGACCTATGTATGGCCAGTGCCCGTTAGGACTGGACAGATGGTGTAAATATTAGCCAGGGGTGTCAATTAGACGAATGTTCACAGACAAATCCAGGGAATGTTACTCTTAAATTAGAAGCATGCACGGCTGTTATACCGAGAGTTTCGAGACTTACTAGATATTTTAAATTGTATAGGCATACAACAGGGTGAATATGCAATCGAAGGTTTTAGTAAGCTCGATACGAAGTGACTCGAGTAAGTGAATCGAAACTTCACTCACTACCAAGAGCAAAATTTGCCAGAAAAACAAATAGGCTGATTTAAAAAAAAATAAAATTAAATAAATAAATAAATAAATAAATAAATACATAAATAATAAATAAAAATGAGCAAAATAGAATGGAACCTATAAATGTGGGAAGTTTTAGGTATCTGTGCGAAGATTTATTGATAAAAATGTAACATTTTAAATTTTAAATGCACTTTTCTCAAAATATATTTTTTTCTTATTACTTGCTTACTTGGTACAAGATAAATCAAATTATTATTGTTTTATTTTTATGAAACATTGTGTACTTAATTAATGTATAGTTTTCTAAAGAATGACCTACCAGAATATTTATATCGTAAATATTTTTAAAATTGTGGCCTGTTATTAAAATAATGATATCGCAAATTTATTGAAAATCTCAAAAAAATTTCATTAAGCTGAAAACTATTTATTTATTTTTTAACAAATTTTTAAAATTTTATGTTATTCCCCAGATAAAAGCATTCAATTTATTAGTTTATAACTTTTTTATATAACTGCAATAGTTTTCCATGTGAGATGTTCTAAATTATTTTAAAATCTACTTAAAAGTTCACATGTATACAATATTTTTGTGAAACGATAATAATATAACATATTAAATCTTAATATTCCATAACTAATATCTGTAAAAATTAAATGAAAAATGTGATATAAGGTATTTTCTTCCTCTTTTATGCATGTCTTCGTGGTGTTACTCGAAGCGTGATTGAGAGGTCCAGGGTTCGAGTTTCGGCCAGAGCATAGCACATTTTTCATGTCTCCTTTTACAAATTTCTAACTATTCTACAATAATACACCTATTCTACGTTTAAAAAAAGACACTTCAAATTTATTCCGGTAACTTAACAGTTTAAGAGGAAACAATAAGAGAAAAGATTTTAAATAAAAATAAAATTATCTTAACGATAAAACAGAAATTACAACAAATATATATACATGGTTCTATAATAACATTATAGATTATGTCGTAAAAATTGTTTATTAAAACAACCTGTTGATGAATATTGTGACTATGCATATCTTGATTTCAACAATGAAACTTTGAAAATTGAATAGGAATTTAAATTTATCATACCTATCAGTTTGGCTACTAATTGGAAAAGACTTAACATTTTGTGCATTTAATGTTGGATAGGAAATATAAAGTAAACCTTAAGTTAATCTCTTAACTGCAAAACAAGAAGTTTTGATTGTAAAAATATAACTTATGGCGTCGTTTTGATAACAGATCAAGTTTTGCATGAACACTTTTCAAAACTTATTTCTCACTCTCAGAATGCGTTATATTGTTCCTAATTTTGTTGACAAGACTCATTTGACATGATCCGCTTTTCATATGCTTTATTTATTTGTAAAGCTTGCGCTAATCACATAATCTGTCATTTTGTTTTGCTCACGTACCTCAATCCAAAGTGTGTTTGAGTGCATTTTGAAAAGGCAATTTGAAAGAAGAAAAATTTTCTAATAATCATTAGCTCACCACACAACATGAGTGTCCTTTTGAAGAATAGGTCTATTCAAAGTGTATTTCAGTGTGTCTTGAAAACGCAATCTTCAAGAATAATAATTGTCTAATAATCATTAGCTGACCATAATACTCGAGTGCTCTCTTAAAGAGCAGTTAATTCAATAAAAAATATTAAGCACATCCTCGTTAAATTTAGTTGTATTAAAGCATAGCATTTGTTTTAAATCTCGAACAACAAATAAATTTTAGACCGGTTAATCTGAGAAAAATCATAATACATGCTCTAGGATGCAAATCTCATTTTTAGAGCAATTTTCAATGTTTAAATTTGCATAAATGAGTATGAAATCTTGGTATTAAATATTGTAATGAATGATGCAACTACTGAACTTCACAAAATACGTACTCTGATGATGGAGGTCGGAATGGTTCCATCTGTATCTCTGTTATCCTTGTTGTTTCGCAGAGTATTCTGGCTAATGTAGATCTTTTAATCTCAACTAGTTGTTCTGGAAAAGAGAGAGATAAATTAAAAATTTCATAAACTTAAATAAAAACTGCATAAAATACATTTTGCAATCATAGGGTAAAAAAGGTAACTGACTTTTAATTTTTACGAAATTGTGCAAATAAAATTCTTGTGCATTAATACATATTCATTTTTCGATGCACTTCATTACATTTTAATGCTAAAAATCTGTTGCACTCACTTTATCTAACTTAAATGTGGATATATAGTTCTTTCCTCGAAAGAGTTTCCTAACTGAGTGGGAAACTTAGTTTTACACTCCCAGGTTTAGTGAATAATATTATGTTTTTCATCGCAAAGCTTTTATGTAGCAGTTCATTCCAGATTTCTTCCTCAATGAAGTTTTTAGCTAGTCTTCATAAACGAAATTTTTATTAGCACTTCTTATTATCATTTAAATCTGTATTTTATCCACAACTAAATATCTGACTGCGGCGTTTTTATACTTATAGTGCATTCGAAAATGACTTTAAAAACCTTGTGTGAAACTCTAACAAAATATTCTTTGCAACCCCTTTGAATTAATTCCTTAATAAGGACCCAAAAAGAGGACTTTCGATCCGAGAAAAGTTTATTCTTTGGTATTTTCGCTTAATGCAGTTTTATCTTGGTCCCCTTTTCGTAATTTGTTCGTAAGTTCTTTTTTCTGTCTGTTTGTTTTCTTTTTCTGAGATTCCTTACAGAAGCAGACATGTTTATTACTAGTACACTTAATGCCAAACTATGGGTTAAACATTGAAAACAAAACATCACGCGGAGTAATTGGAAGCAAGTCCGGCTAGCAGTCGGGAGGTCGGAAGTTCGATTCCTGGTTAAGGCATAGAACATTTTTAACATATGCTGCTTCAAAAATAAGATGCCGAATAATATCTGCAATCTTCAGAGCTCTTCTCCCAACGGGATTCCGCCAGAAGGCTCCATTTAGTATGAAAAAATGTTAAAATGAATAACGAATATCAAGAAATATACCGGCGGAAAAATAGATATTATAAGTAGAATCTGTTTTACTTCTCTGTTATCAAGACTTGGATTCCTAAATATATGTATGCGTGCACGTGTGTATGTATGTGCGTATATGTGTGTATACACATACATGCTTACGTGCATACTTGAACACATACACCTACACATACATGAATACATTTCTGAATCCGTTCCTGATAACAGAAGATTACCATATCTTTTATAATTTACAAGAGTTTAAAGGAAGATAAAATGTATTAATGTAATTCTACTTGTGTAAAAATTTAGGTATCAGCTTCATTACAGTTTTTAAAGGATTCGAAAATAACTATGGATTTAAAATGAAAAAACACTTTAATTGCAGATATTTCCAAAAAATTTAGAAGCAGTTATTCTTACAGAAACGATAGAACTTATTTTCAAAACATAAACTTAAAACAGAGTTGAGTTGTAGCTGGTCTTACTCAAACAACCTCCCACCTTGCAATTTGTAGGATACCTATAAATTGCAACAAAATTTATAAATCAAGTCTATTGGGAATTTTAACACGTCGGCCAGCTCTAGTAACAAAATCTTGGACTTTGGGTGATGAATCATCATCTTCACTGGAATCTGAAGCATTAGCTGCAGGGCGTAGAGGCACATATTCGTAGAGGCACTTTCATCCCTTCGATTCAAACTGATTTGTAAAAATGCTTTTTTGATGTCTGACGTTACGCCAATTGCGTCTTTCCAAAACTGCATTATCAATTTGGGTACCAGTTCTAATAAATTTGGCCCCTTTTCTAAACAATTATTCAAGGAATTTCCTTTGGAATCTTTTGTCGACGCATCAAAAACCGGACGAATTTTTGTTGTTGTTGCACCAGTTTTTATCACAGGATGGTGTGGTAAATAATGTCCCCTTTTCTCGTCTTTATCTACAATTTCAATAATTCCATCCCGAACCCTCTCATTAAACACATCATCGTATTCTCTTAAATGTCCAGATCGTATGAGACTTTTGGTAGTTGACATTAACCGTTTAGTGGCTAATTCCTTATTCGTTTCTAATTCTGGACGTCCACTTTTCCATGGCAAACATACTTCATATCTTTTGTCTTCGTTTCTTTTAATAGTTTTACGGAAAAAAATCTACCGTTTCTTCATCGGTTACCTGCCTTTACTTCTGCAGGACATCTTATACCGATGACATCTAGGTTCCATAATTCCGTCAAATCTAAATTATTAGCATATACAATACTCTCCAAAGATTTTGAGTAGTTTCTTTGTTTACCTTGAAGCGTCCATCCAAGTTTTGTTTCAATAGCTACCAAATTATTATCAATGGGCTCAATTCTCCCAGTCAATAATGCGCCAAGGTAATCAGCTCCTATTAATAAACCTATTTCAGGCACATATTCTCCTGTATCACTTAAGCGTATATTTTTCTTTTTCAAAATTGGATAAATATCAGGATCCTCTACACGTGGAATCGCACCACATATCTTCTTTTCGTCCAAAACTGAAATAGTGTCCTTGAAATTTGAACACAAGCTTTGTAATATTGTAGACATTATGGGACTCTTGTTTAGTTTCACTGCCCCCAAAAAGTCCATGACTCATCATTTCTTGATCTACAAGTTTCAATCCTAGTTTCTCAGCAATATCTTTTCGTATGAAAGATCTCTGAGCACCAGTATCAAATAATCCACGAACGATTCCGGACTTGTCACCATTGATGATTTTCACCAATACAGTTAACAATAACGCTGGAGATTTTTTTGGTGACAAAAGAACCTGTGCATCCGATTCAGATAGTTTGTCTTGTTTTGATTGATTTATATTTGGACACATAATGCTATGGTGTTTTTTCTTGCATATAATACACTTTAAATAAGCTTTGCAGATCTTAGAATTGTGTCCTGGTTTCAAACAGACGAAACAAGCTCCCCTTTTCCTCAATGTTTCCCTTTTCGCCTCCAATGACATCTCGGCAGCCTTAAAACATTCTGAGGTATTATGAAACGACTTATTACAAAATAAACAATGTTTGTCATTTTTCTCAGCTCTTTGCTTTTCATTAGATACAATACAAGCTGCAGTAGGAATTTTTTCTTCCGTTTTAAATTTTTCAAATTGATCATTCGCAAACCCTGATCGAGGAAGTTGTAATCGCTCATCACTTTCGACTTCCAAACGAAGAAATTCTAATAAATTTCCTAACATGTTCATCTTGTCTTTATTCTCTACACGGTTGTGTGTGCGTTCCCACTCCTTGATAAGAGCTTCTGGCAGAGCTGATTCTACTAAAGGATATAACATTGCTTCATATTTTTCAGACGTTACCCCTAAAGTCTCTAATGATCGCAGCTGAGTCTCCAATTTATCATAAAGAATCCGAAATTTTCGCCACTTTTCGCTTGCGTTAAAACTAGATTTAAAAGTTCACGAACGTAAATTTGAATTAATAGTTCATCTTTAGCAAAACGAGATTTCAGCTGTTCTATAGCATCGTAATAGTTTTCGCCAAATGGTGGAAAACTTGCAACTAAATCTCTAGCCGATGAACCTTCTTCAGTTGCTTGTAAAAGATACTGAAATTTATCATCTGCATCAATGCTATCATCAGCATGAATCTTTTTAAATTGTCCCCAGAATCCTAGCCAGTTTTTAATATTACCATCAAAACGTTTCAATTCTAACTTAGGAAGATGGAAATTTCGCTTGGTTTCATTTACTACACTGGAAATATCGCCCTTTCTTTCAGTGGTTGATAACATTAAATCAACTTTCGTTTTCATAGCAACCCACTGATTTCGATAGCTTTCTGTTAAATCCATATCATTAGAAAATTCTTCTTCATTAAAATTTTCCATTTCTAGCCATTTTACTATAACTTTTTCATCTAACTGAAACAATCTATCAGCTTTATCGCTAAATATATTAAATACAGATATCAAATCAATCTTACTTACTGCTTCATCTTTTAGAACAGTGTCCACTTCTTTCAAAGAAGTTGTGAAATATCGCCGTAATTGTGTTCTTTCCCGTTTTAAATTATCCATAGTCCTGCCCCACGTTGGGCGCCAATATTTTAAAGGATTCGAAAATAACTATGGATTTAATATGAAAAAACACTTTAATTGCAGATATTTCCAAAAAATTTAGAAGCAGTTATTCTTACAGAAACGATAGAACTTATTTTCAAAACATAAACTTAAAACAGAGTTGAGTTGTAGCTGGTCTTACTCATTACAAATATCATGTTCTTCGCACTTTAAATTCAATTCAACATCAATATCGCAAATTGTTTTTAAAATGATCATATCTTTAGAATTTCCGATACACAACCTTGCGCGCTGGAGATAAAAATGTTTTTTTTTTTTTTTTTTTTTTTTTTTTCTTTTTTTTTTTTCTATACAATGTTGCTATTTTGTTTCGGTCAATGTTTCTGTACAATGTTGCCTTTGAAATCTTTGAGTTTGTTGATCAAAATTTCTTTAATGTCTGACAAAATATGAAATAGTAATAAACCAAATTCAAAATTTGGGCTTCCAAATGCCCATATTCGGTGGAGGATTACGTTATTCAGAATTGGATGGCTCTAGGTATAGTTGCTTTATCACGGCGCGGGAAACATAAATACATTTATGCAGATTCTTCATTATTTAATTTGTTTAAATATAATACAAGGCGGTAATATTTGGTGGCAACAGTTTGAAAAGTGAATCAGCGTAGAAAGTGAATCGACGCAAAATGCCAAAACGAAATTAATAGCCCTTCTGTGTTAACGCCCTTTGGTCTAATAATAATTGCGGTTCTTTTATTGTAAATATATATTAATTTCATGATAGAAATTACAAACGTGTGAGAATATGCACCATGCAATATGAATGTATATGCATCAAGCAAGTTTGAATAGGGTATAGAACATATAATAGTCATGCAAGTCAGAATATGGTAATAGGTAAATGCAATTCTGCAAGTCTGAACATAACGAAATTAAGCACTATTAAATTTCTCAGTAAATCTGT